ATACATATATGTGTATATATATTTAATAAAAATGACCTATTTGCATTGATTATAGATAGCTACAGGTTAGCCATTACAAACCAGACAGTTACGGAGAATAGAGCCTGTGAGGCTTCTTCATGATTTTATTTGCCATCCATTTCTCTACCAGAGTATCTTCTAAAAAGGGAATATCAATCTGAACTACCATGGTTTAATCATGAATACCCCAAAGCCTCACACTCAGTGAAAATCGAGCTGTTTGGCATGGGCTCAGCCAGCTTTCTTACACCCTGCCACTATGAGCATAACTGAGGGTAGCAGGGAAAAGAGCCTAAGCAGTAAGCCACGACAACATTACCCAATGTTCTGACTCTACACAAACAGGCCTTTCTTCTCGTTCTCCTACTCAGAAGCTACTTCTAGCCGCTTCTGGATAACTGAAATGATTGTGTGTCTTAGAATTCCTACATACACCGGTAGTCACCATTGGTTTCTGGGCTACAAAGCTCACTGATAAGATCTTCCACGTTGCAGTTTCTAATGTGGATGACTTCTAACTGTTCTGATTATTACAGAGTATAGATTCCTTAAGGAATCAAAATGTATTTCTTTTCTTCAAAGTAATCAAAGTTTAAAAAAGAATCAGTAAATGCTAGATTCTGGCCTTTAGTTATTGAAACATTGCTAAAATTCAGGGTCTTTGTGTCCTCAGGAAGGGGGACAGGGGCATGTGGCTAGACAGTCAGAACTTAAGTATGTATTCCACAAACCTTGGCTCTCCCTTTCCTGTGTGTCTGATCCCAGGCAACAGACTCATCCTGAATTTCTCATGCTACCTCTTAGTCAGAATGAGGGGAGAGGCAAACATTCGCACTGCATGTCCTGTTTGGGGAAATAAGTTGCTCAGGGAACGTGGCCTTCAACAGCAGCAACCTCTCAACACAACTCTGGTTTTCCTCCTTAAAAAGATTTCCTGAATGGACCACAGAGATGGCTCAGTGCGGGAGACCTCTTCCAGAGGACCGAGGCAGATCCCCAGCACACACATGGCGGCTCACAACTGCCTCTGACTCCAGTTCCAGAGGTTCTGACACCCTCTTTCTGGCCCCTGTGAGCCCCACACACACATAGTAAGTAAAAACATGCATGTAGGCAAAACACCCACACATACAATTAAATAAATCCCAAAATGAAAAAAATTTTTTTAAAGGTCTCTTTTAGGCAGGTGGCAGTAGCACACACCTTTAATCCCAGCACTCAGGAGGCAAAGGCAGGAGGATCTCTGAGTTCGAGGCCAGCCTGGTCTACAAAGCGAGTTCCAGGACAGCCAGGACTGATATACAGAGAAATTCTGTCTTCTGTCTCGAAAAACCAAAAAAAAAAAAAAAAAACCCAACCAAAAAAACCAACAACAAAAACCAAAAAAGTGTCTCTTGCAAAGCTGTCCAGTAGTGTCCTTAGCACACTCGGAGCTTTCTGGAAATCAAGCCTGAGGGAAGAACTACAGAATGACACAGTCCAGAAATGAGCAGCAGCTGCAGAGCTGTAGTCAGAGTGGAAAGAACTAGTTAGATGTCAGGCAGGGGAGAAGATCATGAGGTCTAAAGTAGAGTGAAACCCCCTCTTTCCCACCCACGCCCCAGGAAAAAACAACAACAAAACAAATGACCCTCTAATACCCTGCAAACTATTTCAGCCAGTTTACTTGTTGGAGTAAAGCTGAAAAATACAAATGCAGAAAGCACGGGGCCTGGGAGAGCTAAGTTTGTTCTGGGGCTATGACGAAAAACGGATAGCTAGAACAACTTCCTAGTTGGTGTGGCGGCATAGGTCTGCAGACTGCAGGGATGTAAGGGCCACCCCTGCTATCTGTGCGAGATCAGAATGGTCTACACAGCAAGGTCCACCCAACTGAAAAACAAAACCAACTTGCTGGATCAGGTGAGGACCAGTAATTACAAAAGACCATGAAGAAAGATGCAAAAAACCCAGATTTGGGCGACTGGAGAACTGTCTATCTCTGTGCTAAGAATGCTCGCTGCTCTGTTCTTTCAAAGGACCAGGGTTCTCCAGCACCCATGTTGGGTGGCTCACAGCTTCAGGAGATCTGCAGTGTTCTGGCATCTGTGGGCACTGTACACATGTGTCCCCGCCCCCACCTACATAAAAGGCTTCAGAACTCTGGCCGGCAGACACACACCACAGACTTCCAGCCTTACATAAAAACGTGAAAAGGAGTACACACGTGTTTATGCTCTGAAGACATTACCAGGCCTAAAAACCCTCCTTTTGGTTGGAAGAGATCTTCCCCTGCTATCTGTTAAGACTGGGTGATCTTTGAGGCCACACGGAGTCCACGCCTCACCTGAACATCTATCGTGGCTCTACAATTCCTTCATCATTTGTTAGAGTGGCTGACAGAACTTGGAAACTTTCTCACTACATCACTAACTCCTAACAACAGGAGCCCATCCAGGCTGGATGGAGACACAATACAGCATCTGTGCCCTCTCTGGGAACTCTTCACATACCTGGCTAAGTTCACCAACCTGGAGGCTTAATTACAAAGGTACAATAGTCCCTAGTTATCACCAATGGTTCATGTGACTGTTCTCCAGAGACAAAAGGGAGGAAGTTTGGTTCCCAACGTGGCAGCATTAAGAAGAAGCAAGAGCCTGAAGAGACCCGGTCAAGGATTGAGTTTCTTAGGTCACTGGAGCACCGCCTTCAGAAGGAAATGATATAATGCTTGTAGAATTCTGAGAAGTCTTTTCTGAGGGAGTTGACTTAAGAGTCTAACCGAGTCCTACTCTGGTATCTTCTCCTTCATGCATGCTGATGTATGTCATCAGAGTCAAGATCTGTAAGCGTGTTTGCACCACGTCCTTGAATCACCACCATGCTATCAGCTAAAGAAATGGGTTTTATGAGCTACTAGCCACAGGTATTTTTCACTGTAACAATGCTCAACTCAGCCTCCAGCCCTTTTCCTTCCCAGAAGTCTGGGAGGTGTGGGTGGTACCAAGGCTTTAATCATCTAGTTGGATTCCCAGATAAGCAGTCTATCCTGAGGGGCTTTTCAAGCGCTACCTCATTCGCACAGACTGGGGGGGGGGGGGGCTATAGAAGGTGCTTGGGTGCTTGTTGCCATAATGTCCTTCCTGGCTTTTATTACGAGAGTTTTATTTAGGACCTCAATCAGTAACACTGGAGGACCAAAATGTCTTCTTAAAAAATGACATCACAACTCTTTTACCCACCCATTTCCTCCTCCAAAATAATTAGAAGTAAATTCAATACTCTAAAATATATTTTGCTCTGTAAATAATTCAGGAACTAACTCCTCTTTAATACACTCGTAACTTCATCGACTTGCCATCACACACTCTCCCATTATGGTCTTGAACTACTCTGGAGGCTTCTCCCCCAAGAACTGGCTCAGCTGAACTATCTAACTTTTCTACTTTGCTTTTACCAAGACGATCTTTGTTTCTGCCATTTCTGTACATTATAATTCTGATCTCTGGCACCTTTATAATCTAGGCACTAAGGAGGCAGATGCAGGCAGATCTTTGGGTTCAAAAAAAGCCTGGTCTATGTAGAAACCCTGTTTCAAATCTCAAACAATAGCAGAATGTGGTGGCATATGCCTTTAATCCCAGCACTTCAGAGGCAGAGGCAGATGGATCTCTGGGAGTTTGAGGCCAGCCTGGTCTACAGAGCAAGTTCTATGACAGTCAGGTCAACACAGAGAAACCCTGTATCCAAACAAACAAACGACCCAACCAGACCAAAAAACAAACAAAGCAGACCAAAAAACAAATAAACAAACAACTCACAAACTAAATTTCTAAACCTCTAAAACTGAATATTCCCTGAGTAATATTAGTCTCCGAATTCCTATCATGTTTTCTAATTCATTTAACATGTATGTATAACTTCTTTAAATATAAAAACTGTTTTTCAAACAAGCAACTTAAGAGCAGTAAGTGCAGCCGGGCTATGGTGGCACATGCATTTAATCCCAGTACTCGGGAGGCAGAGGCAGGCGGATCTCTGTGAGTTTGAGGTCAGCCTGGACTATAGAGTGGCTTCTAGGACAGCTACATAGAAAAACTCTGTCTTGGGGGAAAAAAGAAAAAAAAAAAAAGAGCAGTAAGTACATTGAATTGTTTGTATTTCTCGAATTATAGCCAATATATAAATATTACCAGAAAACATATTTTCCTAACTGTTTTGTGTCATAATCCCAACTTCCTTAAAATGTGGGTAGTTACATGTCTACCTCAACAGGCTGAGGGTAGGAACCCAGTTTTTATAGGTAAAGTGCATTGTGGAGGTGCGGACAATGTGTGGTCTTCACCTCATAAATGTTGGCTTTATCATCACCACACCAGAATTTAAATGGCAGGAATGAATTACACCAGTAACCTGAGTTACAACGCCTGCAGCAGGGAGGGACCCGTTCTAGAAATGGGTGGTCAATGCAAATGTGGCTGCCATGATATTCAGACGTGTTCGTGTTCAGATGAAAGAACTATGCAACCTCTGTCTTCCAGTGACACGTCACTGCCCACTTGCCTGATGTGTGCCATCTGCTGAGCAGGTCTTGGTAGACAACAGAAAAAGGGGGAGACTCTCTTTCTGCAGGGAATGCACAATAATTAGGGTAGACAACTCCATATATTACACAGAAAGGTCTTAGCACAGGAGTACACCTAATCCAGCTTGGGGAAGGAAGCGGTAGGAACACCAGGCTGCTTCTCAAAGGAACGACTTTAAAGAAAAAGGCAGGATGCCAAAGACCAGGACATGCAAACCACGGAAAAGGTCTTCAGTAATTAAGACTTTAGAGATTAATGTGCCAACAAAAGAGGGATTTGTTTTTCATAGTCTACCTGTCAAAAAGCTTTCAATTTTTGCAAACGAAAGAACTGAGTCTAGTCGGGTGGCGGTGGTGCTTTTAATCCCAGCACCCAGGAGGCAGAGGCAGGCAGATCCCAGAGACTTCTAGGTCAGTCTGGTCTACAAAGCGAGTTCCAGGACTGACGAGGCTGTTACAGAGAAACCCTGCCTTGAAAAACCGAAAACAAAACAAAAAACAAAGACCTCAGTCAGTCCAACTATGGAACTATCCTTTCCAGACCTGAGCAGAGAACTAGGTTCTTCTTCACTGAGTCCATTATTAACATATGACGGCCAGCACACGAGAGGACCTGAATGGCACTAATACGGCTGGGGAGAGCGGTTGAAGGGGGCTGGCCCACTTCTCCCGACCTGCATGACCCACGTACCCTTACCAACACAGGGTGCAGGCCCTCACGCCCTGCCCTGCCTTTGTTTAGCCAGGGTCTCACCTGATCCAGGAGTGATAAGCGGTCCTTCCAACTCGAGCGCTTCATCTTCAGACTGGTCATCTAGCTTTTTCTTTTTCTTCTTTGTGGGATCTCTGGGTTTTTTTAAGAGAGAGAGTTCTTCAGGGTGTCTTATATCTGTTGAGAAATGGATTAAGTAAAAGAAGTTAGTACAGTAAGTTTAGTCTATTTTGAGATGTGAATTTGCCATTTCCTTCTGTGAATGCAGATGTCAGCATTCTGCCCAACACTGACACCACACGAAAGAGCGACGGACGGCAGGCCAGAAATCCCCAAAAACTACAGTAAGAGAATGTTTGGCTAGCCCACACAAGGCGCTGGATTCCATTCCAGCACTAAAGGAAAAGAAAGTCTACCCAAAGCACTAATTCATTATTAGCTAACAAGTATAGTGACCGCAGAGCAGACAGAGAATCCACTAGGACACAGAAGGAAAACCCACTGGGAATGATGGTTCATGCCTTAATCTTAGGAAGGTGGATGCAAGTGACTTCAAGGTCAGCCTGGTTTACATAGCAAGTTCCAAGTCAGTCAGAACATGTCTAAAAAAAACACTTTCCAAAAGCTAGAAAGAAAATTCTAGAACTTTTCTTCATATACTCATTTTTATTTAAGAATTTATATTATTTGGCATCAACCATTCTCCATGTCATAAGGTACATGTGGTACACAAAGCATATGTAATAGATTACCTTAACAAACAGGTATTTCTTTAATTTTATATTATGGGTATTTTGCCTGCATGTATGCTTGTGCACTGCCACCGTGTGGGTGCTGGGAATTGAAGCCTAGTGTTCTGGAAGAACAGTCAGTACTCTTAGCCTCTAAGCCATTTCTCCAGACTCAAGCTGGTATTTCTTACACATTAGATACAGTATACGCCATGTTCCTGAATTGCAAGACTCAACATTATCCCTCACCCCAAATCAGTGGGACCTTGGTCAATTCCCCCTATGGTTGAGAAGAAGGTTGTGTATGTGTGTGTGCACACGCCTGTGAGTGCATGTGTGAAGACCAGCGGTCAGTCAACATCAGTTATCTTCCTCAATTGTTCTCTAACCTTTTCCAACATAGTTTTTTTATTGATTATTGAGAATTTCACACTATGCACCCCAATCATACTCACTTCCCAGTCCTTCCAAGCCAGTCCACCCCACCTGCCCCTACCGGCAAAAAAGTTCAATTTGTGTTGCCCATGCACTCCTAGCAGCCAGCCCCTTAAAGAAACCGGGTCCTTCCCCACCTGCACTCATGCCAGAAGCATCAACAGTGGAGCATCCTTACCATGATTGTTACGAGTTCTCTTCCTTGGCTTCCTGTCGAGACTATTACATTTTTTGGGGAGTGGGGTTAGGTTAGGGGTTGTCACAGAAATGTTCTGCCCCTCTTTCTCAACTGTGAGTCTTCAGTCATCCAAACCACTGCAAAAGTAGCTTCTCTGGCCCTTACAGTCAGTGGGTGCATGGACCACGGCCATCCATGTGGTCTCTCAGCATGGTCTTAGGTGGCAGCATAGACCAAGGACATCACATGGCCTCTGGAGCTCTGCCTTAGTTTTAAAAGACAAGTATCCCACTGAACTTGGGGCTTACTGACTGGCTAGGCTGGGTAGCCAGTGAATCCTTGTGACCACCCGATCCAGATCCCAGCACTGATGTTAAACGTGTATGCCAGCTGGGTGGTGGTGGCACATGCCTTGAATCCCAGCACTCAGGAGGCAGAGGCAGGTGGATCTCTGTGAGTTTGAGGCCAGCCTGGTCTACAGAGCAAGTGCCAGGGCAGGTTCCAAAGCTACAGAGAAATCCTGTCTCGAAAAACCAAACCAAACCAAAAAAAAAAAAAACACCAAAAAACCACATTAATTCTTAATGAATTGTGGACCTATATCCAACAATGGAACTAGAAGACCCAGGTTGCTTAGAAAGGGTAGTGTCAAAGGAGACAGTCCCCGAAAAGATTTTGTACTTGAACACTTGGGTCTCAGCTGGTCACGCTGTTGGCAGAGGCTGTGGAGCCTTGATGAAGGCCTCTATCACTCTGAGGTGGCACTCACACAGGGGTTTGAGGGTTTACAGCTTTGCCCTACTTCCAGTTCACCCTCTGCTTCACTGTGTTAAGATGTTATCAGGCAGCTTCAGCTTCCAGCTCCTACCACCCACCAGGCCTGCTGCTTGCTGCCACACCTCCCTGCATGATGGACTCTTATCCCGCCGGAACTATAAGCCAAAATAAACAGTTTCACCTGTAAGTTGCTTTTGGTCAGCCGAACAGTAACGAATACAGATGCAAACCTTCCCATCCCCACGCATAATCTGCCTTTGGGGCTGGAGAAATGGCTCAGCAGTTAAGAGCTCTTGCTGTTCTCTCAAAAGCCCCACATTTAGCCCCCAGTACCCATACTAGGTGGCTCACAATCACCTCTAACTCTAGTTCCTGGAGATCTGATGCTCTCTTCTGGCCTCTGCTGGCACTGGCATACATGTGATACATATACACACATGCAGGAAGATACACATAAGATAAAAATTCATAAATCTCCCTTTGTAATTCTGGTTCCAGAAGAGCTAATACCCCTTCTGGCCTCTGAGGGCACTGTATACATTTGGTACAAATGCATGCAAAACATACATACAAATAAAATAAATTTAAAAATTAACCAACCTGTTCTTTGAAAGGTACTGTTCAGAAAATAAAGAGAAAAGCAATATATATATATGTATATATATATATATAATATTACAACCATATCTCTAAGATTTGTATTCAAAATATGTGAAGAATATATATATTTCCAGAATAAGGCCACTGGGCTAAAGACTGGGACAAGTTCTTCATTAAGAATTACATGAAGTACATGAATTCCCAGAAGTACATAAAAAGATAATGAATTAGCACCCATCAAAGAGTTGTGAATTAAACTATACCAGCCAGAGCAAGGCACCTTCAAAAACACACAGGCTGGGAAGGATGACATATGGAGGGGCCATGTGCAGCTGGACTGGGGAAGGAGAGAATATGTGGAATCGGTCTTCGGCGTCTTACAGTCTAAACGTGCAGCTAACACACAACTTGGATATTCTCCCGTCTACCCAAGAAAGTGACAATCACGACCACAGCAGCTTTATTCACAACATTCAAAGTGTGAGTGATTCACATGGGTTCACTGGAAACAAGGTTCATACAATGGAGCCCGCTCATCAGCAGAAATAACAACCCACTGACACATAATAGAGCGAACGAATCTAAATTAAGTGAAAGAAGCTATTAAAAGAAGAAAATTCGTGATTAAAATCTTTGATTCCACCAATAAAGTTCCACAGAATGCCAACAAATCTCAGTGAGGAAATCTGAGAGAAGAGGGAGACACACTGAAGCAGGAGGATGGCAAGTTTAGGCTGGCCTGAGCTTTAGGGAAAGCTCCTGAATAAGACCCTCTCAAAAAACCAAACCAAATACTTCAAAGTTTTACATTTTAAATGGGTACAGACAGTTCTATGGTGGCGGCATCACAATCTACTTAATTTAAAAAAAAAAGGGTCAGATAAATAAAAGGAGAGTGCAGGCTTTTAATCTCAGCACTGAGGATCCAGAGTACTCAGTTGAGTTCAAGATCAGCCTGGTTTACATAGTGTGTTCCAGGCCCCCCAGAGTCACCTAGTGATGCCCCACCTTAAAAATGAAAAGGCCAAGTACAGAGAGATGGAAAAGCCAAAAAACAAAGAAGAGGGCAGAGAGCAGAAGAGCGCAGGCTGTGACAGACTGCTCAATCCCAGGACCTGGTCTTACTACTCGTGGCCGTCTTCCAGCTTCGGGGGTTCACAAGACTGTAATCTTTGACCAACTAGAATGATTCGGGAAGCTCTTTATTTCAAGGAAACAAGACACTAAGATCTATCATCTGGCTGAAGGACTGAAAGACACAATTTTTTAATTTAAGATTTATTTGTTATATATAGTGTTTGTCTGCATGCTCGCCTATGTGCCAGAAGAGGGCATCAGGTTTCATCATAGATGGTGGTGAGTCACCATATGGTTGCTGGGAATTGAAATCAGAACCTCTGATTGAGCAGTCAATACTTTTAACCTCAGAGCTGTCTTTCCAACTCGAGAGACACAATTTAAGGTAAGAAACACAGCCAAATTACCTGAACTCAAACCCCAGATCCATGTTCACTGGAACTCAGGGAGGCTACCCAGCCTGCCAGAATCTGGGCTTTCTTTATCAACTACTATAAAAATTAAGGGACAAGAACCGTTTTCTCTTAAGACATTTTACAAGCCTCTTTTTGTCCACGAGACACACATTCCACAACTCCAATGGATACCCTGCAAGACAGTGGTATCAAACTCTACAGTGACTATAAATGTTTCTTGTACAGACATACCTGTAAGAAAGCATACTTCTAAATAAGGCACAGTAAGAAATTAAATGGCAACCAATAACAAAACAGAAGTTACTAGAGAGGCTCTAACAAATAAAAGGTACATAAATATAAATACAGTGTTGCCAATATCTGTGTTTGTTCTTCCTGCTGCATCTGAGATGTTTCAGGACTGCATCTCGGGGCCCTCTGAGGCCACTAAGACAAAGGTTAAATGCGAACCGCAACAGCTGATCCGGAACCTTGACGGCTCCTGGCTGACTGGGGAAAGGGTGTATAGAGAGCAGACACACTGTGCAAAGGGTGATTTCCCGCCAATGACACAGTGAGACTTACTGCGCCACTCAGGGGTACAAAAATTACGGCCGCCAATTTCTGGAATTTTCTTTTAGATAATATAGAATTGGGTCTGACAACTGATAAATGGAATCTTGGGAAGTGAAACCACAGACAACGTGGGAGAATCACCTCATATGTTTTCTTTTAATTGTAAAAAAATATAGTGGTAAAAATTAAAAATAGAAAAAAGTATGACTTGTTTTCTTTTCTTTTTCTTTTCTTTAAGACGAGCTCTTGCTATGTACCCTGACTGTCCTAGAACTCACTATATGTAGCCCAGGCTGGTCTTGAACACAGAGACCTGCCTGCCTCTGCCCCCTTTAAAATCTTCTTATTGAAGCATAACTATGCAGTAACTATACAGTATTCTCTGTATATATAAAGACCATTTCTTCT